ATCAGTGACAGGTCACTGCTTTCCTGCCCTACCTATGAGTTTCCTCGGAGGCATCTGCCCGGTTTTTGTCAGGGTCAAGATGTTAGACTAAATTGTCTAACTGTGCAGTTTCAACTTACATTGCTATGTCCTTAACGCCTAAGCTAATGGTGCAGAAAATGAAGTCTCTGCTTACTTCACAAATCACAAAACCTCCATGTAGAAATTTCCCACCATTCTTTATGAATCTCGTCCTCAAAGATCCATCATCTAATCCATCCACAGCTAAGAAATGTGACTGCAAAGCTTGCGGTGTTTCCCCATTACCAATAATTTGTTTTTATTTATTGAATTTGATTTTTTCCAACCGTCCTCCCCCAGCAGCCAGGCTCAGAACAGTGTACAATATGGTCATAAAACAGCAATTAAAAACAAATGTAGCTAGAGAGGGCGCAAGAAAAGCCAGTTAACGCCGCCATCTTATGGGAGGTGGTGGTGGGGAGTGTCAGGATGGAACTGTTGCCGTCCTCAACTGACCGCCTGGCGGAACATCTCTGCCTTACAGTTTGTGCACAGTTTGGTGTAGGGGAGCACAGTTGGGTGTAGTGGTTAAGTGCGCGGACTCTAATCTGGGAGAACCGGGTTTGATTCCCCACTCCTCCACTTGCACCTGGCTGGATGACCTTGGGCAAGCTGTAGTTCTGGTAAGAGCTGTTCTTGAAAAAGAGCAGTTTCTGTCAGAGCTCTCTCAGCCCGACCTACCTCACAGGGTGTCTGTTGTGGGGAAGGGAAGGGAAAGGAGTTTGTAAGCTGCTCTGAGACTCCTTTGGGTAGTGAAGGGCAGGGTATAAATCCAATCTCTTCTTCTTCTTCTGCCTTACAGAACCTGCGAAATGGTAACAAGTCCCACAGGGCCTGGGTGTTATTTGGCAGAGAGTTCCACCTGGTTGGAGCCAGGATCCTAAACAACTCCTTAAGCTGGGTAGCTTTCCCACTGTATGATGTCTTTTCTTTTTTATATCTGAACTACGGAAAAGCAGACACCCAAATAAACCCACTACTTCCTGTAACATTACAAGTGGTAATCAACTCCTTTTATAAGGACTTTGGAAAGCCCATTCCTATATTCCTTTTAAAAAATATATATATATATATATTTATTTTGTTTTCAAGTTAGAAACAGTAACATAATAGCTCATAGACAATAACATCATCAGAAGTCGACGTGTCAACCAGAAATACTTTTTAACAGCAACTAAATCAAATAAGAAATTTTCTAATATTCCCAAATTCATTCCATTAGTCAGCCGCTAACCGAGTACTAATCTCTACCTATGGCATTCCTATAAATCACTCGGTCTCTGACCTGAGATCCTTTCTCACCTCTACAAAATGCATGAAGTTGTACCTACCGGGGATTTCATTGTACAGACAATCTTGGTATTGTGTGCTGTTCCCGAAACATTGAGAGGATCCTGGACTGTGGATTTCACAGTAACGACTACGGTACTGGATCCCATCTTCATTACACAAGCTCCATTCAGACCATTCGGACCATCCTCCTTAAAAAAAAAAAAAATGATACCAGAAAGCAAAATATAGTTCAGAAAGTTACATGAGTGTAGCCGAACATTTAGAGACACTCTTAACACCCAATAGCAGAGAAAGTCTTCCGTGATAAGCACAAAATAGATTTCAGAGCAGCACAGCTGGCCGTATGAAGAAGAAGAAGAGATTGGATTTATACCCCGCCCTTCACTACCCAAGGGAGTCTCAGAGCGGCCTACAAACTCCTTTCCCTCCCCTTCCCCACAACAGACACCCTGTGAGGTAAAAGAAGAAGAAGAGATTGGATTTATACCCCGCCCTTCCCTACCCAAAGGTGTCTCAGAGCGGCTTACAAACTCCTTTCCCCTCCCCTCCCCCCAACAGACACCCTGTGAGGTAGGTGGGGCTGAGAGAGCTCTTAACAGAAACGGCTCTTTTTCAAGAACAGCTCTTATCAGAACTACGGCTTGGCCAAGGTCATCCAGCCAGGTGCAAGTGGAGGAGTGGGGAATCAAACCCGGCTCTCCCAGATTAGAGTCCACGCACTCAACCACTACACCAAACTGGCTTGTGTCAAGCCCAACAAGGTTTTCTTCTGTGGATCAGAACTTGTATAAATGTTCCAACAGCCAACCACTTCATTTAGTTCTTGTTTGGGAGTAAGCAGCATATTAAAAAAATAACATGACGATTCATTCTCTTTTGATAGGAAGATATTTAAAGGCCATCAACAGAATTACATCCAGGGCTCTTTTTGTGGCAGGAACTCCTTTGCCTATTAGGCGACACACCCCTAATGTAGCCAATCCTCCAAGAGCTTACAGAGCTCTTCTTACAGGGGCTACTGTAAGCTCTGGAGGATTGGCTACATGAGGGGCGTGTCACCTAATATGCAAAGGAGTTCCTGCTACAAAAAGAGCCCGGTGACACTACTGAAACGTGGGCTTTAAAAAAACACACCGTCAATAGCACCTCAAGATCATTTACACTGTGCAACTGTGATTATACCTGTTATTGATTTATATGAAAATGGTACATTTTATCTGTCTTGTAAGATTGAGTTATATTTATGTAGTAGAAATAAGGCATATAAACACTTCAAATAAATAAAATATAGTAATAATAGTATTTGTATTGTGCTTTCCAATATTAAAAAAAAACTTATCTATTTTGCTGTTTAGATACTGCTTTTCTCTCCTCTCTACATTTTATCCTCACAACAAAAGCCTCGTGACAGCGGTTAGGCTATCAAAATAACAGACCCAAGGTCACCCAGTGAAATTCCATGGCAGAGTGGCGATGCAGACCTGAGTCTCCCAGTCCAACACCCTTAACCACTGGGCCACGCTGGCTCTCACATATATTATCTTGAACACATGAAGCTGCCTTATACTGAATCAGAGCCAGGGCTATTTTTGGGCAGGAACACACAGGAACAGAGTTCCGGCTGGCTCACAAGTTGGCCACGCCCAGAAGATACTCATTAGCATAATAGGCCACACCCAACAGCAGAAACTCATTAGGATTGGCTACATTAGGGGGGTGTGGCCTAACAAAAAAGCCCTGGCTTTGGACAACAAACAAGGTAAACAGAATAAGAAGCAAAAGGTGGGTGTGGCTGGATGAGCACACGTCTGGTAACATGGGGGTGTGGCCTAATGTGCCAATGAGCTGTGCTGTCAGGGGTGTGGCCTAATATGCTAATGAGTTTCCTACTGTTGGGTGTAGCCTATTATGCTAATGAGTTCCTGCTGGGCTTTTTCTACAAAAAAAAGCCCTGAATCAGACCCTCAGTTCATCAAAGTCAGTATTGTCTACTCGGACTGGCAGAGACTCTCCAGGATCTCAGGTAGAAGTCTTTCACATCCATTTAACGGGAGATGCCAGAGATCGAACCTGAGTCCTTCTGCATGCCGAGCACGTACTCTACCACTGAGCCCCTCCTTGGAATCCTTTTTAAAACTCTGTAAGATATGTAAGTATTAGTTACTCCATACTATAGTTCGGAGGCTCCAGCTATGGTTTGCCCAAGGCATCCTAGGAAATGGCAGGAACCAGATTCACACCATGGACTTTATGATGTACAGCTCAACAATACACTGTCAGTGGCATTCTATATAGTTAGTTTATGGTACCTCAGAGTCTTATTCAATAAAACAAAAAAAGATACAAAACAGGGCAGCATTTTGGTCTCCACGATATCCACCTTGATCTTTACGCAGTTAACAAAATTCACCAGAAAAGATTTAAAATACCAAGTCATGGGGTACCCAAAAGAGCTAAAAGAGACCTTCAATTTGGACAGGATGATGTGTTTATTTGCCTAGCCAACACAAATTCAATGATTCGCTGAAAATAGTCTTAGCATTTGCAGTTGGGCTAAAGCTTTATGAACTTAAAAAATGCGAACACATTCTGAATAAGAAGTTTATCTTCTGGTTTTAATCACTTTTCTCCATCATTCCAAGTGAACTAGAGAAATCCAGACTGTAGTACCTTCACACAAATGGGTATTGCACAGTGCTTCCTCTGTGTGCAGCCCAATGCAGATGTCCTCGCCATTAGAAGGTGCTGGGTTGGTGCAGGTTCGGGTGCGCTGGTAGTGTCCACCACCACAAGTTGCTGAGCACTGGGACCAAGGAGTCCAGCAGGACCAGGATCCTTTCACTATGGATTAATTTTAAAAAAATGGAGAGAGGAACATATCATCATTTCGGTATTTAATCAGCAAAAAGATATGGGATTCTCAGCCAAAAATTATGGAATTGTTGCAAGAATGAAGGGGCAGGAAGTTATGGCAGAAACCTTGGGCATTTTAGAAAGCATCATATTCAGTATGGAAAACAACTAACACACTTTGCTCACACTGCTGTCATAAGAACATAAGAGAGGCCAATGTTGGATCAGGCCAATGGCCCATCCAGTCCAACACACTGTCACACAGTGGCCAGAAATACCAGGTGCCGTCAGGAGGTCCAGCAGTGGGGCCAGGACACTAGAACCCCTCCCACTGTTACATAAGAACATAAGAGAAGCCAATGTTGGATCAGGTCAATGGCCCATCCAGTCCAAAACTCTGTCACACAGTGGCCAGAAATACCAGGTGCCATCCGGAGGTCCAGCAGTGGGGCCAGGACACCAGAAGCCCTTCCACTATTGCCCCCCCCAGCACCAATAACCGTAACTCCATGGCTCCTTTCCCCAACCCAGAACCACATCACTGGTCCTTTTTGTGCTGCATTCCCCAGATGGCCAACTGTGAAACGCGAAAAGAGAAACAGTTAAGGATTCATAGGCTCTACTTTCAATTTCCCTTCCCTAGTGCACACACCTCTCACAAGAGAACCAAGAAAGATGATCACTAGGTCATTTTTAAAAGTATTAGTGGTACCTCATCTAAAATGGTTTCTGGATTTTTAATAAGAAAATGAAAGGAGAAGCTATTAGAAGTGTTCCAGTCCTGTAAGTAACAGTATCACGAAAACAAATTCATACACAAGTTAACCAGGAAAACAATGTTTTTTCGGTATGGTGGGATAAAATCCATAATGAAGATAGTTCCCATCCCGAACACAAGAGAGTCACCCCCCACCACGAAGAACAAAAGTTAAAGGCCCTGATTTAGTCAGTAAGCTGCTTTGTAAACTCAAGAGATACTAATTCTGCGTAGCTTTCTTTTTGCTATGGATGAAGACAGAGATTATATTGTTACAGCAATAAAGCCCACACAACAATGAAGCCCATTCGGGCTGCATTAAATCCAAATGAGCTATGAAAATACCAGTTCTGTGTATGAACTGTAGAAGTCGGCGGGCTACGAAGTCACAGAGCCATTCTTCCCTAATCCCTAAAACAGTTTTCCAGTTATAAAACTGAGGATAAAAAAGGGCAACCAATGAAAGTTTAAATGAATGAAAATATTTAATGAAGTTAAGGAAGGCAGCTCACTTGAAGCATGGGGTGGAGAGAAGAGAGCAGAAATGACGGTTAAACCAGCCTTTAACTTAGACAGAATGTAGCCCAACTCAATTGGCGGCTGTGGGACCCTCTGCACCTCCTCCGTAACGACTATATCTTTTCACTCTCAAGCTGCATCCTACACCACTGCCATTCTGACAGAGTACAAGGTGAAATCAGCAACGGTATGACACGGAATTGCTTTTACAAAGTAACATTCACATTGAGCCTGCTTGTCAGGCAAGGCAAGATAGAAATCGAAATAATGAACAAACAAACCGGTTCAGATTCCGCTCTCTCTCTCTGCATCTCAGAACCACAGTGGGGCAAGGTTTTATAAGGGACGGAGATGAAGATATGGCCGTAGGCTTGCCAAGTCCCCCCGGGGGGGCGGGGAAACCCCCGCCCCAGAGGCCCGTTCCCCGCCAACGGCGGATTGGGCCCCGGGGGGAACCCCACCCCGACGTGCGTGTCACCCGGAAGTGACATGACGACGACGGGCACGACGGGCACGCTGGCCACGGTCATCCAAGGGAAAACCCGCGCGTGCTCCAGCCGCCCTCCAGCCGCCAGCGGGGAGTCCCCCGCTCCGGCGAAATTTTGACTTGGCAACCCTATATGGCCGTGCTCGGTCTCCTTTCAAACTTCATCCCATCCTATGTTGGTCGTAGGGGCTATGAAATTGTACCCTTCTCTGAAACTGATGTTGTGCAATGTCAGGTCTGTTAATAACAATACCTTGACTCTGCAAGCTTACTTTGCCGCTCCAAAAGTGGACCTGTATCAAAAACCAGACAGGCTTTGGTGTAACCACAACAGGAAAAATAGGGCACACCAAAGAAAACCACTCTTCTATATCTCTAACACACCCAGTTGCATTATTATAACAAATTTCCTGTATTAACTAGCATTCATTCATTATATATGAAGTACATTTCATGAACATAAGCAAAGCCAGTAAATGATAGTATGAGTACAATACAAAATCTTGATGTAGTTATTCTTGATGTTGTTCTGGCTGAGCTCCTTGAATGTTTACTCTTTGAGACATCCTGACGGAGCTGTAAAGTGTGCAAAGCAAACTGAGGAGTCCTCGTTATATGAGTTCCCAAACAGTGTTTATCACTCCTTCATTTGAAAACATGTAGTTCCAAGGAATGTAAGAGATAAAGAGAACACGCTTTCCTAGGATTAAACAGTGGTTTCGTATGTCTTTTTCAACTCTATCTCTCAGTTGGTGTTTGTCACCAATCTCTTGTCGTGGCACAAGCAGGAATTACAATAATGTGGATCAATGCAAATGTCTTCCCAAAGCTCTGCGTGAGGGTGAGATAGTAAGCCAATCATTACCATACAAGTCAGAAACTTTGGCTGGTCCAAAATGCAGCGTTGCATCTCCTGACTGGGACATCTTTGATAGTTAGTATATAGCCGTGCTCCGCCAGCTGCACTGGCTCCCAGTTGAGTACCAGATCAGGTTCAAGGTTATGGTATTAACCTTTAAAGCCCTGTGCAGACCATCTGCAGGACCATCTCTCCCAATATGTCCTCTACAGAGCTTTATGCTCGTCAGAACATCTTCTGGTGATCCAGTACACTTCAGTGCTTAGTACGCTGCTGACACCAATGTTACAGTAGGTAAAAGATATTATACTCACCTGGACATGGGTGTGGGTTGCAATCCTGATATTCCATTGCTGATCCTATGCAAGGTAGACCACCATTTTTAGGTTCTGGGTTAGTGCATGTCCTCTTCCGGGTTCTGAAACCCAGCTCACAGTCTCGGGAACACGAAGACCAACCTCCCCAAAAGGACCAGCCACCATTGATAATCCGGATAGAGGTCTTGCCACTTTTCAGAAGGTCGTCAACTAGAGCTTGGGGGTGGAAGAGCAGAGGAAGCAAACACATGAAGACACGCAGACACATATTTCAGTAGCATCAGACAAGGTATCAATTTACAGACCACCTGAATCAGACTTTGTTTCTTTCTCAGTACCTTGGGTTCTGGTAGACCAAACTCTGCTCTCCCTTGGATGTTCCTACCCTACGTCCATAGCTAGTAGCCTCCCTGGTTCGCACTCAAATAGTTTCAGTTCCATGTTGTGCATAATAGGACTCTACTCATTTTTAATGAAAACGTCATTTGTGTTGCTATTATTGTACTTTCTAGACCAATGTCCTCAAAGTAACTTCAAAGCATAATGCAAAATATATAATCTTCGATAAACACAATTTGAAACATTTAAAAAGGTAAATCCGAATATGTAAGAAAAACCGTAAAGCCACATTCATGTCTCAGACTGGCTCTGTGGCAACTGTTATAAAAAGTGGAGGATAACGTTTAATGCTATGTTTGGTGAAATCCTCCGACCCTGAAGACCTTCAACAGGGATTACAGGCTGTGGCTGAGTGGCTCAGGCTGAGCCGGTTGAAACTAAACCCAGCGAAGACGGAGGTCCTGGGCCTGAGTCGGAACGGGATGGGGTTAGGGCTCCCTCTCCCGACCTTCGATGGGGTGCCTTTGGTGCCTGCGTCGGAGGTTAGGAGTTTGGGAGTGCTCCTGGACTCCTCCTTGACAATGGAGGCCCAGGTAGCAGCCACTGCCAGGTCTGCTTTTTACCATCTGAGGCAGGCTCGGCAGTTGGCCCCTTTCCTCGACCGTGATGATCTGGCTACAGTGATCCATGCGACGGTCACCTCAAGGCTAGACTACTGTAACGCTCTCTACATGGGGCTGCCTTTGTCGTTGATTCGGAGGCTGCAGCTGGTGCAGAACGCGGCAGCTAGGCTGCTGCTGGGCCTCCCCAGGTGGGAGCACATCAAGCCTGGGTTGAAGGCGCTGCACTGGCTGCCCATAGCATACCGAATCCGCTTCAAAGTGCTGGTACTTACCTTTAAAGCCCTATATGGCCTGGGTCCGACCTACCTGAGGGACTGCCTTTCCCCGTATATACCCCCAAGAGCACTTCGGTCGGGGACCCAGAGCCGTTTAGTGGCCCCGGATCCCCGAGAGGTACGATATGCTGCAACAAGGGCTAGATCCTTCTCAGTGGCGGCCCCTACCTGGTGGAATGAGCTCCCGGAAGAGATCAGGGCCCTGCGGGATCTTATGCAATTCCGCAGGGCCTGCAAGACGGAGCTCTTCCGCCAGGCCTTTATGTAGGGGCCGCCGCACCTGCCCCCCCCTTCCACCACTACCAACGGTGGAAATACCATCAAAGTTGGATCGCCCTTGATGGCCCGGTGGCAAGACGGACTATATGGCGGCAAGATCAGCCGATTAGCTTGGATTAAGACTGCCGGTATTATATTAGTATAACTAGCGCTGGCAGGGGTTACTTCCTGTAAGAGACTACTGTAGACCATCTTGGAACTTAAAAACTTAAAGCACTTTATTAGTATTACTATTAACAGTATGTATTGATTGTATTCTGTGATTTTATCGGATTTTATTGAATTTTATGTATGGGCCTATGCACCTTGTAAGCCGCCCTGAGCCCGCTTGCGGGGTAGGGCGGGGTAGAAATACCTGAATAAATAAATAAATAAATAAATAAATGTTTTATCTCCCTTCCAAAATACACTTAATGTACCAAACACTGTATGCATCACGATGCCCTTCCATATCCAGCTTCTTTAGAATTACCCCTGTAACCCATTTCCTTCAGATGAAAAAACAACAACAGCTTGTAAAGTAGAACCAGTAGCTGCTCCGGCAGGTACTGGGGTTGGCTCCTAACACAAGGATATTAGTCCTACATTAGGTACCCTGCAAATAAGCAATAGATCATAGCATCAAACCACATGTTAGACAGACATTCCAGGTTCTTAGGGAGAAAAACAAATTCTGCCTGCTGGAAAATAAAGACAGATCCTGATGCCTGGGGTTTATTCTCACAATTCATGGGGTATGCCATTGTTTCAGAGATTTTAGAAGTATATGAAATTCTAATACACTTCTCATGATTTGCGAACATAGAACCCAGGAATGGTGGTTAATCTAGGTTATGCGATGCGTAATTAAAGGATATGCTCACACACCTATGGCATCAGACTTCACTCTCTAAAATGCCAGAATACATAATGGCACTCACACAATGGCCATACAGATACTTTCCTTCAGTCCTGAAGTAAAATATCACACTTAGAAAGGACCACAGTAACACCCTCATTCGCATCACTCTCCCTCAGTTGCCAAGAGCCTCTACATGCTTTCTGCTCCTCTTACCCCTTCCCACGGCTTTTAACTGCTTTTAGGTACAGCTGAACAGGAAGTAATGCATTCAGTTCAAGCTTACTAGCAAAGATTAACATCTGGAATTCCCTTATAAACACAAGCTATGAGGAAGAACCGCTTTGAGGCGGGGATCGACTTGTCTGTCCCAGCCAAAATCCTAAGTTTCCAGTTTTAATTTGAGCATGAAGCCTTATTCAGGAAATCAGGTCACCAAGTGATCTAGGCACAAAATTCTTATTAACATTTTAAAAGTTATTTATTACAGAAAGGAAGCAGAATAAAGTAGTTCTAGAATAGCAATAATTTGAGTTCACTTTGTTAGGCTTTAGGTTAACATAAGAACATAAGAGAAGCCGATGTTGGATCAGGCCAATGGCCCATCCAGTCCAACATTCTGTCACACAGTGGCCAAAAATACCAGGTGCCATCAGGAGGTCCAACAGTGGGACCAGGGACACTAGAAGCCCTCCCACTGTTGCCCCCCCCCCAAGCACCAAGAATACAGAGCATCACTCGCCCCAGACTGAGAGTTCCTATCTATACTTTGTGGCTAATAGCCACTGATGGACCTCTGCTCCATATATTTATCCCAGGGGAGGCCAAACTTGCTTAACGTAAGAGCCACGTAGAATAAATGTCAGATGTCTGAGAGCCGCAAGACAAATATTACACACACGTTTTTATTAACGTTAAATGAGACTGCCAAAAATAAAAACAAAAGGAGTTAAAACAGATATTGATAACGATATTTATTTGTCCAATGATATTTATTTGTTTGCTAATGGTATTTATTTGTCTAAGAGAGAGAGGGGTGGAAAGAAGGAACGGAAGTGGTGGAAAGAGAGAAAGAGAAACAAAAAAAGCAAATAGATGGGGAAGTGAGGGAGGGAGAAGGAAGGAAAAGAAAGAGGAAGGAAAGGAGGGAGGGAGGGAGGGAGGAAGAGTGAAAAATAGAAAGAAAGGTGGAAAGAACACTGGCTTGCCCAGCTGCCCTGCCGGGAGCCGCACAATATGTGTGAAAGAGCCACATGTGGCTCCCTAGCCACAGATTAGCCACCCCTGATTTATTCAATTCCCTCTTGCTCATCATAGTTTGAGCAATACAGGGATTTCTTTAATGTAATTGCAAACGTATGATATTCTACTATTTCCTTCCCTGGTGTTTTCTTTGTCTTCTGATTCCCTCAGTTTACATATATTCTCTTTCACATGCACTGAACGCTATTTTAAGTAAGCTGCTTTTTGTTTCAAAGTATGCTATTCTGAAATGGCAGTCCTACTTTGCAATTGGTTTGGTATTTGCTAATATAATTAAATTATCTTGCTTTATTAATTAAATTATCATATGGCATTGTGTGTGGTGTGGCCAGGAGGGCCACACCACACACAATGCCATACGATAATTTAATTAATAAAGCATCTGTTTTGAAAAAAACATGGATGTGGGCTACAATCCTGATACTCCATGGCTGATCCTATGCAAGGTAAGGCCACGAGAGCAGGGTTTCTTCTTACAGTTACCAGAGCAGGGTTCTTCTTACAGTGATAAAGGGTGAAGAAGCAGGGCTTCAAACATTTAAAGGTTCCACAAAACGCTTTGTCTCGAACCACTGATTCATTTATTCACTTCATTTCGATCCCATCTTTCTCCCCAATGGGGACCCAAAGCGACTCACACAGTTCTCCTCTCCTCCATTTTATACTCATAACAATCCTATGAGGAAGGTTAGGAGTGAGTGACTGGCCCAAGGTCATTCAGTGAGCTTCTACTGCAGAGTGGAGAGTTCGACACTCTAACCACTATGCTACACCGGCAATATGGTTCCTCTGAGCCAGTTTGGTGTAGTGGGTTCAGTGCGCAGACTCTAACCTGGGAGAACCGGGTTTGATTTCCCTACTCCTCCACTTGCACCTGGCTGGACGACCTTGGGCAAGCCATAGTTCTGATAAGAGCTGTCCTTGAAACTTCTTTTACCTCACAGGGTGTCTGTTGTGGGGAGGGGAAGGGAAAGGAGTCTGTAAGCTGCTCTGAGACTCCTTTGGGTAGTGAAGGTCGGGGTATAAATCCAATCTCTTCTTCTTCTTCTTCTTTTACCTCACAGGGTGTCTGTTGTGGGGAGGGGAAGGGAAAGGAGTCTGTAAGCTGCTCTGAGACTCCTTTGGGTAGTGAAGGTCGGGGTATAAATCCAATCTCTTCTTCTTCTTCTTCTTTTACCTCACAGGGTGTCTGTTGTGGGGAGGGGAAGGGAAAGGAGTCTGTAAGCTGCTCTGAGACTCCTTTGGGTAGTGAAGGTCGGGGTATAAATCCAATCTCTTCTTCTTCTTCTTCTTTTACCTCACAGGGTGTCTGTTGTGGGGAGGGGAAGGGAAAGGAGTCTGTAAGCTGCTCTGAGACTCCTTTGGGTAGTGAAGGTCGGGGTATAAATCCAATCTCTTCTTCTTCTTCTTCTTTTACCTCACAGGGTGTCTGTTGTGGGGAGGGGAAGGGAAAGGAGTCTGTAAGCTGCTCTGAGACTCCTTTGGGTAGTGAAGGTCGGGGTATAAATCCAATCTCTTCTTCTTCTTCTTCTTTTACCTCACAGGGTGTCTGTTGTGGGGAGGGGAAGGGAAAGGAGTCTGTAAGCTGCTCTGAGACTCCTTTGGGTAGTGAAGGTCGGGGTATAAATCCAATCTCTTCTTCTTCTTCTTCTTTTACCTCACAGGGTGTCTGTTGTGGGGAGGGGAAGGGAAAGGAGTCTGTAAGCTGCTCTGAGACTCCTTTGGGTAGTGAAGGTCGGGGTATAAATCCAATCTCTTCTTCTTCTTCTTCTTTTACCTCACAGGGTGTCTGTTGTGGGGAGGGGAAGGGAAAGGAGTCTGTAAGCTGCTCTGAGACTCCTTTGGGTAGTGAAGGTCGGGGTATAAATCCAATCTCTTCTTCTTCTTCTTCTTTTACCTCACAGGGTGTCTGTTGTGGGGAGGGGAAGGGAAAGGAGTCTGTAAGCTGCTCTGAGACTCCTTTGGGTAGTGAAGGTCGGGGTATAAATCCAATCTCTTCTTCTTCTTCTTCTTTTACCTCACAGGGTGTCTGTTGTGGGGAGGGGAAGGGAAAGGAGTCTGTAAGCTGCTCTGAGACTCCTTTGGGTAGTGAAGGTCGGGGTATAAATCCAATCTCTTCTTCTTCTTCTTCTTTTACCTCACAGGGTGTCTGTTGTGGGGAGGGGAAGGGAAAGGAGTCTGTAAGCTGCTCTGAGACTCCTTTGGGTAGTGAAGGGCGGGGTAGAAATCCAATCTCTTCTTCTTCTTCTTCTTTTACCTCACAGGGTGTCTGCTGTGGGGAGGGGAAGGGAAAGGAGTTTGTAGGCCGCTCTGAGAGTCCTTTGGGTAGTGAAGGGCCATGGGGTGTAAATCCAATCTCTCGGGCTCTGAAGCAGCTCCAGTCCAGGAGTGTCATCTAAACAGAAGTGTGAGCTCTCCTACTGCTGGGCTCACATCCTTTGGGAAAACTGACTGGGCAATGGATATGCACCCACTGCTAGTGACATAAGCCAATCATTACCGTACAAGTCAGAAAGGGGTGGCTAGAGAACTCGCTTTTTGTGGGAGGGACACAGGAATCATATGCATTGCTAATAAGAGGTCTCTCTCCAAATGAAGAGAGTGGAAAGACTGAGTTATCACTGCTGGGTCAGTGTTTGGTAATTTCTGCCTAGTAACAGACTTCAGAGGACAGCGGAAAACAGGAGGGCCTGGCGAGATCTTGTCCATGGGTCGCGAAGAGTCGGACTCGACTGTGCAACTGAACAACAACAACAACAACAGACTAAGATTTCAATCAGAGTTTCTAGGAAAGAATTTCTAACCAGCCCTTCTCTGGGAAAGACTGCCCAGGAATTCTGGAAACTCCCCAGAGTATTTTAGAAAGCATACAGAAAGGAAAGAAGAGCATATGGGCTTTTGCTGGCAAAGCAACGCAACAATAAATCCAGATAGAGACAGACCAGACCAGTGTTGTTGACTCTCAAAAAGTAGAACCTTGCCCTTCCTGAAAGAAGGGCTAGTTTATCAAGCTGGCCATGCCAAAAATGGACCATGTTCATAACGCAATGTACAGTGGAAATCCAGATATGGTAAAAAAAAAAGAAGAAGAAGAAAATGAACAGCCTCATCAAACTGAGCAAGCTAGATCATGTGGGTCTTTTGCATGGAATCCAGTTGCTCTAACTTCTTACATTTACTGAGGTACAGAAACCAGTTCTGTAATCAGAACTCGTGTGATCAGACTGAATGCTTTATGTTCTTTATGCTTTATGTTGAGATTGCTCTCATACTGCTGGGGGTGCACTTTAAGGGCATTTTAGTAAACAATGAGATTAAAACTACGCATCCCCAATAATTGATGCAATGCTTGCGAAGTGGTAGTGGTGTGCATAAGGTTCCGTGATGCTTTTCTATCGCAGCCTCACTTAACACAGGGCCAAACAACATGTTTGAGTTTTTGAACAGTTGGGTCTGGGTTCCCTGCAGCCACACAGCAACTGAAGGGAATGGCTCAAACAGGCTCAGAAAGCCATTGGGATGAGGGAGGAAGCGCTCCCTGCACCAAAACGGCATTGGAGAGGAGTCATTTCCCCATTTTTGCTGTTCCACACAGAGTACTATGTGCAGGGGTCATTTCATAGAAAAAGAGGTGCAGGAGCTCATTAGCATAACTCATTAGCACAACTTATTTGCATAGGCCACACCCCCTGACATCACCGGAAGTGTGTCAGAAGGCAACACCCACTGCTCAGGCTCCACTGGACTATTTGGGATTGCTAGCTATTGGGGGGGGGGGAACGTGCAGATCTGCCCTCACAGAGGAGGGAGAGCTTGTACCTGAATAAAACTTGGCTTTAAAGGTGCCACTGGACTGTTTGGGGCCGGGGGGGGGGGCTCTGCAATTTACCTGGCTGCTTCTTGCTCCTCGTGGCCCGGGGCTGCTGGGAGTGGGGGCGGGGCTTGTTGCATGTGCCCGCCCCCTGGGCTCTTTACTGCTGGAGCTCTGCTCCTGTGCGCTCCTGCAGGAAATGACCCCTGACTATGTGCATGCGGAGCAGAAAAAAGGGGGAATAATTCTCTCCCAGTACTGTTTTCACATGGGGAAACGGCTGGGGGTGGGCAGGAGCCCTTCCTCCCCTATGGTGACGTTCTGAGCCTGTTTAGACTTTCCTTTCTTTTAAAAAAGCCGTTCCCTGTGCCTCCTGTGGCTGCTGGGAACCCCAACTGGGTCTGGGGAACCCACCCCTTTGAAAACTCAGACGTGTAGTTTAGCTCATTGTGTTGATTTTGAAATCTTCCACTGCCATCAACAGAACATTATTCATTCAGTCCTACATTTCATCTCCGCATGTCTCCCATATTAAGAAGCCTATTTTGGTGATCAGACTATCTCTATGCAGGCAGGACGTACAATCGGTGTCGCAAACCGCTGAACCGTCGTTTGGGCAGAACCGACTTTCTGTCTTCTTTCGACCAAACTGGAGGTCATGGGGGTCAGGAAGGTGAGCCCGGCAGGTGTAGCGGAAGCGTTGCTCCTGGCGGGCACCACTCTGAGTGATATTGGTGGGCATCCACGGCGTCCAGGGTGTATTTCTCCGTACCTCCGGGCAGGCTTCTGGACTGCAGGTTTTATATTCCTATTGAGGGGGGGGGGGAAATGGAAAAAAAGAATCCTTACGAATTTGGTTGAGGAGACATAGTCGTCCCATTGCACTGTGGTGTTGCATACTCATCTAAGGGACGATAAAATAAATCACAGAATATTTGATTAAAAAAGGAAAACAATTTTGGCAGAAACAAAACTCAGAAGACAAATAAAGCACGGCTGCTTATTGCTCCCAACGTTTTAATTACTAGAATACAACACTTAGATGGCAAGCTCACGCAGATGTTTTGCACATTGCGTGCACGCGCGCACATCTGGCAGGCAAAGGCCTAATTCTCAGTGAAGTGAGATACTATGGATCAGGGCTTTAAGGGAAGGAGGGACTGAAGCCTTCAACTTCCACTTGTTTTCGCTAGTCAGAACTGGGCTTCCCAAGCTGTTATTAGAAAGTAAAAGAGGATCTTTAAAAAAAAAAAAAAACACACCCCAAACCCTGTTTCCTTCAAAATTGCTAACAGTATTGTGGGAATTCCAATTTCAGACAGGGAAACCACGAAGAGGTTGAAGCCAGTGTGCTACAGTGGTTATAGGGTTCGACTAGGATTTGGGACACAGGGGTCATTTCCTGCAGGAGCGTACAGGAGCGGAGCTCCGGCAGTAAAGTTCCCAGGTGGCGGGCACATGCAACAACCCCCACCCCCTGCTCCCAGCAGCCCCAGGCCACAAGGAGCAAGAGGCAGCCAGGTAAGTTGCAGAGCCCCCCCACCCCCCGGTCCAAAACAGTCCAGTGGCACCTTTAAGACCAAGTTTTATTCAGGTACAAGCTCTCCCTCCTCTGCTAGGACAGATCTGCGTGTGTTCCCCCCATAGTTAACAATCCAAAACAGTTCAGTGGAGCCTGAGCAGTGAGTGTTGCCTTCTGACACACTTCCGGTGATGTCAGGGGGTCTGGCATATGCAAATAAGATATGCTAATGAGTTATGCTAATGAGCGCCTGCACCTCTTTTTCTACGAAATGACCCCTGGATTCGAAGCTCCATGAATGGAAGATCTCTGGGTGACCTTGGGCCTTTCACACACTATCCCTCCCTAACCTGACAATGATGCTGCAAACTGTTCTAGATCCCCAAACAACTAAATAAAAAGTATCTAAATAAACAAATCTATTCTTTCCCCACACAATACTTATCTAAATAAGACTGCACAAATACACAATGTACTTCTAATAGATTGATGGAGATCTGTGATCTCTGCCACATATGTTTTGACCCTTCTTCATAAATCTTGGAATGGAATGGTGTATTTTATTGTTCAACTAGTAGTTTAAATAAAAGGCATGCACTGGAGTTATACAGAGCTGACAGCATGAAACATTTTTATGGCTGGCAATCCTACAGCTGCAGGATGATCTTCACCACATGCCCTTGCTATCCAGTTTCCTAAGTTTATAGCCAACTTCCTATTATCCTTTAAGCTCTTTCTGTCTCCCTTGCTTGACCATCAGCAACCTGAAGAACGTCAACAAACAAACCAACAAACACATACCACAGGACAGCCAGGACAGGTGTTTCCATTTTCACATGACCTCAGCCTTGAGTGCACCCCTCCACCACAATTGGCACTACATTTAGTCCAGGGGCCCCATGAAGACCAGAAAATCGGTAATGGGCAAGGACTATTCTCATTGCAGAACCTAAAGGGGGGAAATTGCAAGGAGGGGGGGAAAAACAATAATCCAAGTCAATTTCGTGGGGAATCCATAGGGCAGAGGACTGCTGGTTGTAAATGATTTCTCAGTGAAGCCACCTTTCGAGAAAGCGAACACCAGGCTGACTAGGAATTAAATCTCAGCACCACCAAGGAAAGCACAGTGGCAGTATCCAATCGGGGAGAGGGCAAGGGTCTGGTATATTTAGAAACGGTGGGCTGTTGGAGCAATGAAGAAACAGCGCAAGACTAATATTGTTGGGTGCCTCAACGGAACATGATTTACGCTTACCAACTGCTTGCTAGGTGTAGGAGACCCAGGTAAGACCCATAGAGAACCTATTGCCAAATTGGGTGCGCATATAAGCTCTACTGGGAAGGGTCACTAACCAATGCCGCTTATGCATTTCTCAGAAGAAAACACAGAGCTCTGCGTCAAGAAGTCTGATAGACGGTTAGGGATGGGGGGGGGGAACGACTCTCACCGCTCCTCTCTGCTTTGTCCGACACAGACCCTGCCTCCGTATCGCGGAGCAGGGTTGCTGCACGACCTCTGACGGACCTGAAAGCCAATCCCACAGGAAGTGCTGCAGGGGGCCCAGGACGACCATGGTGTCCAAGCTCCATTCCTGACGGAGGGGAGGGGGAAGGGAGAGAGATAAAACACGGCATCTGGGTTAATTTATTTTTTTCAACTTTATGCTAAATCCAGTCCCGCTGGCTGTGGAGCACCAGCAGGTAGAACAAGCTGGCCAGCTCTACCAAATACACTTCACTGCAGTTAAAGCCAAGAAACCGATGGCGGGTCAGTGCTAGAGTTTTGCAACTGTGCCTGTTTCTTTTCCTGAAAAACAAAATCCATGGCGATTTCGCTCCAAGTGGATTTTAAGCTTCCACTAAACACAATATGGACTGAAGAGGTCCAATTCCACCTTCCAAATTCCCCGTTATTCATAAATTTGCATTCTTTGTGTAATTCCTTGTGACATTACAGAAGAACTGGAGGGAGCAAATAGAACAGATATTAGAAGGGCAATAATTATATTGGGAAGGGCATGGAGGAGAAAGAGGAGGAGATTGGATTTATACCCCACCCTTCACTACCCAAAGGTGTCTCAGAGTGGTTTACAAACTCCTTTCCCTTCCCCTCCCCACAACAGACACCCTGTGAGGTAGGTGGGGCTGAGAGAGCTCTTGACAGAAATGGCTCTTTTTCAAGAACAGCTCTGACAGAACTACGGCTTGCCCAAGGTCATCCAGCCAGGTGCAAGTGGAGGAGTGGGGAATCAAACCCGGTTCTCCCAGATTAGAGTCCGCGCACTTAACCACTACACCAAACTGGAAGATTAAAGCCATCCTGATCTCCCTAAAACTTTGACAAGATGTCTCTGATTACAGAATGATGGCTTGCTTGGGACACCAGCATGTGATCAAGATTAATACACATGTAAATATCTATTTTTTGCACCTGCTATCTCACCCTTACTGAAGTCTAAGAATGGGTTGAAATTTTTCAAAATATAAAAGTAAAAACTAGAGACCACAGTACAACATTAAAACACGAGCACACCACCAGTGTAAAATATCAACTAGCCTTACTTAAGCATGAATACTAGATTGAGACCTACTTTTTTTTAAACTGCCATTTTCATGATTCTGGATTAACACCAGATTCTGTATTGTGTAGCATGAATGAGGTCAAGTAGATGGCTAAAGCCCCTACTCGCATGTTCTTTTCATTGTGGTATTTCTCAGCCTTTTTAGCAGTTTCAGTTTCTCCTCTCATCTGAACTTTATTAATTTTTTGTTAATTTTGAGCCTTTCCTTTGCCACTTTTTTTGGTACATTTTGGTCCTTTCCTTTCCCACTTGACAGAACACCGAATCCCCAAATTATGCATTAACTATGAGGGCCATCCAACAAATTGGAGACTGCAACAACCAACTCAGTTACTAGTGATCAAGTCTTTTGAGAACTGTTGTGAAGGTATCTTTTATTCCTTGAACAGGTATGTGTTTTCATTATAATAAGAACAATACGTCAGCTCAAAAGAACTCTCAGGTGCAAAGTTACAGCCCCCTCCAAGACCCATTGTTTGTAGTTCTCCCTTCATTTTGACTTCCTTATCTCCATATCTCATTGGTTCGAGTCAAGTGATGTCAACCGTTTTTAAAAGTTCATTCCCGAAAAGTCGACACCAGAAATTTTCCGTTTACATGGAAGCTGAGCTAGTGAACAGATGTGTTGATGTTCAAAGAACTGACTGAACTAATCAAAGTGCCTGGCAGCTGGCTGATTTCCGGCAGGGCACCAGTTGTGGCAAAAGATTAAAATTAAACCCTGAGTAGCCTTCACACATTTCAAGTTTGTTATCTACTCTCTCATTCTCTTGGCAGCTGACTTCAGAACAGTGGTGGTTGTTTTATTCTCCCTTCACAGGGAAAAGAGAAAATAACAAGTACTCTGACACCAGCTGTGACTTCACCCATGTTTTGCCTCCATTTTATTACACAGTTGGAAAGTTATGGTATTGAATTTTTTATCACCAAAATCTTACATAAAGTGATGTATGCCGGGGGGGGGGGACGGACAGAGAAAAAGTAACAACAGGATCCAAACTTTGGCTATATAAAATATTTGTAAAATTACAATCTATTTGTTGTGTTAAACCTACATAAACCACACATCTTTTTGTCCAAACATCTGATTAGCCAAATGTTTTGGATAGCAGCCAGGGCACTTGGATAAAGGATGCTCTACTATATTTATACACCAACCTTGTTCAGAAGATTAAGACTTAAAAAAAGAGAAAGAGTTGATTTGTATTCAACGTGCAGACAGTTCTCAATAAGGTTTTCATTAGCATTGTGGCATTTCCAGTCTTAACCTTTCTTGTTACTAAAACTCTTTATTTAAACATCCTAATGAAAACATCACAATGCCATACGAAGTCAGTTAAAATGGAAATTCTAGGCTTATGATGACTGTAAGATGATCTTATGTCTGAATAACACTGAATGCCTTTCTTATCTACTTTCTACAGGCTACTCTTGTGTTGTCCTATACTTCTGAGATCATACCGTTGGCAATGGCTAAATGATTACATCAACTATTTTGTCTATTGCAGACAAGAAGAATCCATATCGTAAGAATTCTACCAGCTGTAGAGATGTCAGTCTGAAACATGAAGCATCTAAAGTATCCTGTACGATGTGAGAAGTAGACAGTGCGACTATTCATACCCCTCCTCAGCTGAACATGAAGTAGCAGGTGTGTAGCTTGAGGATGCTTCAGAACAGGTAGCTTCAGAACAGGTAGCTAAAGTAGCTTTTTGCAGCTGTGACTGTTCCCGCCAGACCTGACCTCCATCACACACGGTACCATTATGAATGGACTACTGTAACATGCATTACATGAGACTTCCTTTGAAAAGGCTCTCGAAAATTCAACTGATTCCAGATGTGGCTGGAAGGGTGCTGACTGAGACATATTGTTGGGACCACACCTTCCCCACGTCACAACAACTTCACTGCCTCCCAGTCTGTTTCTCGATCCAATTCAAGGTAGCGAATTTGACCTTTAAAGGTAAAATGGCCTTAGACCCAAGCAGCTGAGGGATCATGTCCCACCCCAGACAGCTGCTCGGGTCTAAGGCCATTTTACCTTTAAAGGTCAAATTCGCTACCTTCTGGCCTTCTTTGTGCCCAGTTCGCAGGAGGTAAGATCAGTGACTCTGTGGAAGAGGAACTTTACAGTTGTTCCTGTTGTCAATCGCCCTCCAGAGACTGGTTAAAACAATTCTTTTACAAGACGGTCTTTGAAAGGGGGGTTACGCGAAACATCTCCCCCAAATTCCTTGTTCTTGAGAATTTAAAGTTTTGGTTCTTATCAATGCTGCTCTTTTATAATAGTTCTCATTTTGCCTGGGGCTGATTTTAATAGTGCCAGTCTTAAAGACAGATTTGGATGGGCTACGAGGGAATTTTCAACTGTAGCTGTTCACTATTGCTCGTTTTACTTATTTTATCCTGTATAAGTTAAATTAATTATTTTCATTTATTTGCTATGATCTGCTCTTTTTTAGAAGCTGTCTTGAGTGTTTTTAAATAGAAGGGTTGGATATAAATCCTATACATAAACGGCTTTAAATTCTACATAAATATTATTAATAACTTACTACGTTTAAATAAATTAAAATCTTTGTCTTTTAAATGTTGAATCAGTAAGCTACTTTGAAAGAATGAAGAGGGGTAAACAGTTCTGAATAATGGATGTTAAAATATACATAATTAATAATCCCAATTGCCTTGTAATTAGCTTTTATGTTATGAGCTAGTCTTCTTCTTCCAAAGGCTAGTATTCCACTCAGAAAGATGGAAAACAGTCTCTTCCCCAAACAGAAGGTCAAAGAATGGCTGGGCTACATGTTACATTAGAGAGGCAGTTTGGTGTAGTGGGTTAAGTGCACGGACTCTAATCTGGGAGAACCGGGTTTGATTCCCCACTCCTCCACTTGCACCTGCTGATGTGACCTTGGGTTAGTCACAAGCTCTGGCACAGGTGTTCCTGAAAGGGCAGTTTGTGTCAGAGTTCTCTCAGCCCCACCCACCTCACAGGGGGTTTGTTGTGGGGAGGGGAAGGGAAAGGAATGTATAAGCTGCTCTGAGACTCCAAGTGAAGGGCGGGGTATAAATCCAATCTCTTCTTCTTCATTAGTGACAGTCACATAGTGATGGTTGAAATGGCTTCTGTACAATAACAGCTCAATGCAGCAGTTCAAAGGTATAGGGTATTCTTTATGTGCATGCGGGGGGGGGAGCTTCCGTGTCATCACCAGCTGGAATGTTATGGCAAACAAGTAGAGCAGTCACCTCAAAAGACTAAGGCCGATTTCACACAAGAGCTGCACAGCGGTCGCGCCTCACTTTGCCTCGCTTCTATTGGTCAATTTCCCACTTGAAGTCGCGTGGCCGCAATTTAACCCGCGGCTTCGCCCGATTTTCCCCGCGGTTTCATGATCCTCCACATGGAAAATTCATGATCCACGGGGAAAATTGGGCGAAGCCGGGGGTCAAAATGCAGCCACACGGCTTCGAGTGGGAAATTGACCAATAGAAGTGGAGCAAAAAGAGGTGTGACTGCGGCGCAGCTCTTGTGTGAAATGGGTCCCAAACAAACAGGAGCAAAATTTCTTATGGTCCACCAGTAAAACAGCTCCTCCACAGAGGTGAGTAGAGCCGCCAAAAGAGGAAGATCAAGTAAAAGAAGAAGAAGAGGAGGAGGAGGAAGAGGAGGAGATTGGATTTATACCCCGCCCTTCACTACCCAAAGGTGTCTCAGAGTGGCTTACAAGCTCCTTTCCCTTCCCCTCCCCACAACAGACACCCGGTGAGGTAAAAGACAAAGAAGAAGAAGAGATTGGATTTATACCCCGTCCTTCACTACCCAAAGGTGTCTCAGAGTGGCTTACAAACTCCTTTCCCTTCCCCTCCCCACAACAGACACCCTGCGAGGTAGGTGGGGCTGAGAGAGCTCTTGACAGAAACTGCTCTTTTTCAAGAACAGCTCTTATCAGAACTATGGCTTGCCCAAGGTCATCCAGCCAGGTGCAAGTGGAGGAGTGGGGAATCAAACCCGGTTCTCCCATATTAGAGTCCGCGCACTTAACTACTACACCAAACTGACTCTCAAAACTGCTGAGGTGGCACAAAGGATGCTTTTTTCCACTGCTGTTCTCTACTCAGTCTCTGTGGCTGTGAGGACATTTGATAGAGGCCAAGACAATAGTAGAAAAGCTTGCACGAACAGTGTTCATGACACCGATTAAGGGAACACATAAATATGAAAACAGGCTTTCGGTGACTCGGACAAACAAAAAGCCATTCTGAGCTCAATCACCATCATATTACCAGCGTTTTAACCAGAAACACCTGATTCTGTTTCCTTTTTCATAAACACATCATGACATTCAGAAGTTTAATTTCTAATTTTTAAGCCACACATATATATGTAATGACCACGCCTTATCCTACATACGGGGAGTACCAGATTTTTCAAAAACGCTGCAATCCAAGTCTCGGTTTTAGAAGTCATCCAATGTTTGTTGTATAAGTTGATGTATTTTCAGTGTATCTGCTTCTCTGCACTCATTTCAACATTTTCCAAACCTTTAGGAGAAGCTAAGACTCTCAAGATTCCAGTAAAATGGGACTTCATATATCTGTGAGACTTTCAGATGTGCAGGAGGGTAACACAAGGATCAGCGTTTTGCAGTTATATTTCTATCATTTAATTGTATGGCATGCAATGTGAAGTAATGTATTATTTAAATGGAGTTTAATACAATATTTTCAGTCAGGCATGTTGAAATATTGCTTTAACTGAAATCGGGAAGATATAAGAAGCAGGTCGGGAGAAGGAGGCAGAGAAATCCACCTTTTTAATAATCTCTGAATACCAATCTCCTGATTTTTTTAAAAATAAGGTAGTTAAAGCGTGAGTTAACTAATCTGTATTTAATGATTTTGAGAATGCCATGTAGGTTGCTTCCAGATAGAGCAGAAGCAGCAATAGCTCAGCAGCAGATTTGGAAAGGCTCAGTGGCAGAGCGCATGCTTTGCATGCAGAAAGGCCCGTTCCCAGCATTTGCACTTAAAGAACAGAAAACAGAACTGAGAAATCCCTGAAAGAAAGGAGACAGTACTAAGCGTACTAACAGCATGGTGGTCGACAAGGCAGTTTCATATGCTTCTGTGTATCAGTCTGTAAGTGTCAGAGATATTAACCTGTAAACCACAGAGAGAGATAGAGAGAGAGAGAGGCTGAATCTGCATTTGTCTTTCCCACCAGTGTCTCAGCCTTCTGACTCCGTCTTTAAAAAAGCTGTCTACATTTGGTGCCGTTTTCACACCTCAAGAGTGCTAGCATACTTTTGCAGGTCCACATATGTTTATCGTCCTTTCCGGGGGGCTGTCATTGCACCTCTGCACTGCTTTAAAAGAATCTTCTCCAAACAACATTCAAACAAGCACAGAGAAAGACGGTGTCACAGCAGCATGAAAATGATTTAAAAATGCAAATGCAGATGAGAGAGAGAGACTGCACCTATCCCCACTCAGATCTAGCTCTCCAACCAACTGAAAGAAAGTATAGACAGTTGATCGGAACACCAGTTCCCAGGGAGATATTTATTCCAGATGGATCACTCTGGATTAAACCTATGGACTTGGAAAGGGATTCATTTGCCTGCAGTTGCATAAAGTCAGGTCATCTGATAAATCCTTAGCTATGTTTGAGAACTCTTCCCAATGATCACATGTTAAAGAAGTTTAGTTCCCCACCCCATCACACCCATTTAAAAAAATATTTTTGTGTGTGCTATGTGCCATGGGTAATATTTGGCCAAGAGGTCACCCAATGAGAGTAGACAGCGGAAGGGAAAGGGACAGCCTCAGGTGTATACGTGGCACTAAGGTGCTAAAAGTACCTTGAGCAATTTGCAATCTCTATTCTGCCTTGCTCGCAGTCACGTCCACCACAGCGAGGCCGAGGGTTGTCACATGACCGTGATCTGCACATGCAGGAGCCTGTGCTATCTCCATCGGAGTGCTCGCACGGTTGCCATGGGGACCAGGCCCCCAAACGCCCATCCATCATCAGATTTTTCACCTAATTTAAAATGAAGGAAAAGTCATTAAGGTGACAGTAGTCATGAGGGTCACACAAGACAGTAAAGGCAGAAAATGTCACCATGGAGACACAAGACAGTATTCCTGAGCTACCGTGAAGGGAAAAGATGCAAGCAAGTGAAAGGAAGCGGGTCTGAGAACCCCTTGCTTTCCCCCCAGACGATATCATGTCATTATTTGCCTCAGGATTCCATGACACATAGTTAAGTCATACAGACAAGGAGGTGTAGCGGGAAGAACATTCACCAAGAACAACTGCTGCTTTTCGCTACTCAGCCATTGCAACTTAAATACACTGTAGGTGGGGCTGGAATGTCTACTCAATGTGAACAGCAGATTGAATAGACTGTACAGAGTCTGTTTGCCAGTTTGGTGTAGTGGTGAAGTGCGTGGACTCTAATCTGGGAGAACCGGGTTTGGTTCCCCACTCCTCCACTTGTACCTGGCTGGATGACCTTGGGCAAGCCGTAGCTCTGATAAGAGCTGTTCTTGAAAAAAGAGCAGTTCCTATCAAGAGCTCTCTCAGCCCCACCCACCTCACTGGGTGTCTGTTGTGGGGAGGGGAAGGGAAAGGAGTTTGTAAGCCGCTCTGAGACTCCTTTGGGTAGTGAAGGGCAGGGTATAAATCCAATCTCTTCTTCTTCTTCTTCTTTTACCTCACAGGGTGTCTGTTGTGGGGAGGGGGAGAGGAGCTTGTAAGCCGCTCTGAGACTCCAAGTGAAGGGCGGGGTATAAATCAAATCTCTTCTTCTTCTTCTTCTTATATATATTATGCATTATGAAATGAGATCAGAGCGGCCATGAATAATGCAGATTATCCACTAGCTTGTCAGCCTTGGAGGTGGGAGACCAGGTATGAAACTTGGTGGGGTGACATCGGGAGTCACTTTCCTCAGCCTACCCTACGTCATGGGGTTGCCGTGAGGATAAGAGTTGGTTTTTGAGACAACTGAATTTGGTAATAATTAACCATTCAGCAAATGCTTCAGTCCACCCAAACTTTCAAACGCGCCCACCATTAGGCATTTCTCAAAAGCAAACACTCAAGATAACTATCAAATTCAGGAAACAGGTAAAACCCTTCTCTTCACATTAGTGGTTTGGATTTGGAATTTGACTGAAGCCTCCTGAGCACCTCAGTTCTAGCCCTGCTGGATCAGATTGACTAGTGCTCTGAAGCAGCAGAAGGAGAGAAGCATTTGCTTGTTGTCGACTACACCAGGCACCCCAGCTTCTACTTGGAAGGGATGGCGCTTCCTCCGCTTCATGAGACAATCAAACCTTAACCTGAGGCAAATCTGAAAACACAACGGCTTAGTAATGTAATTAGGATCACAAATCATAAGTTCCTAACTTCCACTTCCCTGTCTCTCTGGCTCCGTTAAGCACTCCCCTGCCACTTCCTATGAACCACCCTCTCCCCATCTCAAGACCATGAGAAATGACATGGAGATAATTTAGGTCTGTCATTATGCTCATCACACTGTAGTTAGAGGGCTTTAAACATCTGGTACAAAGCTCTGTTTGCAGTACACTGTGACTCAGCCACACACAAACGCCTGGAAGCAGCGTGCTAATAGACCCACACTTGGCTTTGGATGAAGCTCAGCTGGACTACTTGGTTTAGGAAGGAACGTGACGTTCTGAAGGAAACGAAGACAAACTGGGGAAGATTAATTGCTGAAAGATGGCAGGAGGTTTCAGAAGCAATGTTGATGAAACTAGGCATTGGGCCGGATATCGCGGGGGGGGCGGAGGCCTGGCTAATTGCCCTGGCGCAGTTTGATCCACGATTACGCGATCAGACGCGCCGGCGGCACACCATGGGTCCTTCCCTCGGTGGGTAAACGAGGGACCGGAGGGGAATGCCGTGTGCCGGCGCCATCACACCACAGGCGTCTGGATGCAGCCCGTGGCAAACGTTTACTAGTATCTTGGAGGTACTAGTTTTTTAACGCGCATTGTCGGCGGTAAGCCACGGGTGTGCTCCACTTCCCAGATGTTGGGGTGTGATCGCGCCCGGATAATCAGCCCACCATCCGTGCCTCTCCCGCGGCAACTTTGCCGTGTGACCGGGGCCATGATTGAGCTTCCAAAAGGGAAAGGTCTGCAGGAGATAAGAAAAGTTACGTGAACATGGCATGCAATAGAGAAGACCCAGACCAATTATCTCCCAAACACGTGAGTTTTCTATATGAAGGGTTTTTTGTACAGTTGCTTCTAAATGTCACACCCCCTGAATTCTCATCCAGCCAGATTTCCCCCCACTCCCTCCCTGGATTTAATGGTTCCCGTTTATCACATCCTGTTTGTGCAGTGACTTTTTTAAATTTTATTTTTTATTTTATTCAAAGATAAGTCAAATATACAGAAGAAACCAGGAAGCATAAACATTAATGCATTCAACACTATTACAACGAAGTGTAAACATATAGACCTAAAACATTTTGATAACTCTATATAGCTCAATGAACTACACCTGACTTAAGCCTTATACCCTTTGCTATGGTCCCTAGTATCCTACTATTAAGATGTGAGTATTGTGTAATATCATTAAGATATAAGTACAAGCTTTTGGAAAAAGTGCTCCAAGAGTGCCCAGACCCTAAAATAAAGGCAAACTAAAGTAAGAAAAAGCAACTCATAAATGAAGCCAACGTGGTTTGCATTAATAACCTACTTCACAGAAAATGACATTCTACCAGCACATGTGCAGTGACTCCCTGCAGACTGGATCCTGCAAAGAAGCAGACTGTTCCCTGCTTTCGCCCTCTCATAGGGACCCAGAACAAGGCAGCGGTGGTGATTGGGGGGACCCTCGCGGACAAAAAGGTGCAAATCATGGGAAGCTGCAGTGAAGAGACTGGGGGGGGGGGGAATCACCTTCCTTCTTAAGCCAGCTGAATTGCTGCTATTGGGAGAAAGCAGAGGGGCCATTTCAGCCAATGCCTCCTCCTCCATGATTCACCCCTCCATCGTTTGGCTTTTGTTCACAATGGCCCTCTGACCCGTGGCTATGCCTCTGCACGGGTCACAGGGGGGCTACGGTAGGCAGGGGAAGGCTGGGGAAGACCCACCTCCATCAGCGCAAGGAGTATCCAACCCCAAGTGTTTGCTTTATGCCATTCTTCCAGCGTGCATTTTCATAATTTGTAGCAGTGCTGCACTCGCCGTGCACGTGTATGGTTTCACTGAGTTTGGTGTAGTGGTGAAGTGCGCGGACTCTAATCTGGGAGAACCGGGTTTGATTCCCCACTCCTCCACTTGCACCTGGCTGGATGACCTTGGGCAAGCCGTAGCTCTGATAAGAGCTGTCCTTGAAAAAGAGCCGTTTCTGTCAGAGCTCTCTCAGCCCCACCTACCTCACAGGGTGTCTGTTGTGGGGAGGGGAAGGGAAAAGGAGTTTGTAAGCTGCTCTGAGACTCCTTTGGGTAGTGAAGGGTGGGGTATAAATCCAATCTCTTCTTCTTCCTTCTTCTACTGTGTGTGTTTTTAAAAGCTCACCCGTGTGTACCGGAAATGCTTTTGTTGAAAACTCAGTGCTTTCCTGTGAAAGTAGGGAGGAGGAAGCCATGTTCATTTCATCACTGGCATTTTATTTTCTTTAATTAAGGTGGTACTTTGCACGCCACCAATGCACACAGAAGCACTTCTAAAAAGAGATTTTGTCTTGTCTGGCTGTCCAGGGGAGGAAGCTAATTAGCTGCTGCCTGGCTGCTTTATGACAATCACTGGCTCCCTTGAGGTGCACAGGATGCATTCACTGAGTCACCCAAATTAAGCGAAAGAGATCCAGACACATAAGCAGGCTTCCACATGCATATTATTTGCATGGTCAAGAACCTCATGGGTAACCCTTAAGCACAAACACTGAAGCAATGCCCCTTACCCCCTCCACACACACACATGAACTTAGAGTCATCTATATGTGTTTCCATATGCTAGAAAACCATACTACAAAGCAGGGCTATTTTTGGGCAGGAACGCACAGGAACGGAGTTCCGGCTGGCTTCAGAATTGGCCACGCCCACCACAGCCAAAACCTCTGCGTGCCTGGCTACAGAGGGAAGGCCTGGAGTGGAGGCCCACCCCCCCCCCCCCCGGCCACTCTGAGGTGGGTGGGCCGGGGGGGCTGGAAGGATTGGGGAGGCATTTAAATGCCTCCCCGTGCCTTCCCTGGCCTGTCCAAGGGCCAGCTTGCCCAGGCTCCCCACAGCCGCGGGGCACCCAGGCAAGCCCTGGGAAGGCATGGGGTGTGGCCTAATATGGTAATGAGTTCCTGCTGTTGGGTGTGGCCTATTATGCTAATGAGTCCCTGCTGAGCTTTTTCTACAAAAAAAGCCCTGCTACAAAGCAAACCATGGGCACTGAAGAATACTATTTACTGCGTATCCTAATCCTGCTATTGGGTTGGGGAGATAAAATTAAGTAACCTGGATACATGACCTCTCGGCAGTAGTAGCAAGTGACACGGGAGGCTGGAAGATATGAGATGCAAATGAACTGTGGACCAGGAGGGAAGTGACTACGAACCAAGAAACAGAAAAAGGAGTGGTAGAGCATCTTAGCCATACGTCTTGATGCACGGAAACTCTTCCAATGCTATATTTTATTTCAGCAGACACCACCCACACAATTTCCAGCACTCCATCTTCAGAAATCTGGATTAAGTTCCAAACTTTCTGATGCAGTTCACATGCATACCCGGAGCCTTCAGTTCTTTTCATGTGTATGTAATATTCTAGGCTTGAGGCTGACAGATACCAAAATTCAAATCATTGAACAGAGATTTTATTTGTTCAAATACAACCATGTGCTTTAGTACAAGTTTAATAAGCACTACAGCCCAGTCATTCCTGGAATGTTCAGGGTCTTTCCAGTCATCTCACCATTTCCCCTTCACCAACAAGGGATTCACTCAGGCTGAGAGAGAAGCTCTGCGGCAGTGGCACATCCTTTTCAGCTCTCCATTGAAGTGAA